TCGGATGCTTCAATGAACCAAACAGATTTGAGTACTCTTTTCCTTCAATTGTTAGAAATTTTTTGGATTTTAATTCTATAAAGCAAAGCTTAAATGAGCCCAAGGGAGTTGATATTGCATACCACGTGGATAAAAAAACCAAGCTAAAAGTCCAATTATAAGAACTCAAGAGCTTAAGAAAGTGCACAAGAGCTCAATTAAGGCACATCATAAGAGCTTGTTCAAGAACTAACTAATTATTATTTGAGTTTTAGTAGTTAGATTTTAGATCTAAATTGCAATTTTTGATTTTTTTATTTTGGGAAAAAAATATGGACTAGCTACTTAATGAACTTTTAGAGATAGTAAGTTAATGAGGGTGGTTGGTATATATACCCTTTCTCTTCGAAAATTTTCTCATCTTTTTGATGATGTTAGCCTGTCATTGCTAAATCTATAAATAATGCTTCTATGTAATTAAGTAGGTTTTGCATGATAAGAAAATTAGATAAACTTGTTCTTTTGTGTTTGGAGCTTGGTGGCCGACCTTAACTTTCCTTTCAAGGGAAAGGCTAGATATCTTGTGCTTGTTTGTCATTTCTCTTCATAAAATCCTCTCTAATTTTTCAATTCATTTTCAACCCCTGACATCTCCTAAGGTAACTCAAAACCCACTTGTAAGCTCTCAGCTCACTCCAATGTAACTCTTACAATTCTTTAACTTTATAGAACTCCACCAAAAGCTCCATATCACATCTATATATTATAATCTCTCTCAGTGATCATTTCCTACTATTTAGTCTTCATTAGACCCATTTCTAAAAGAGCTAAACCAAATCAGTCCAAACTTGACCGAATGAATCCAGTCTTGGTTCTCCCCCACTAGACTCTAAAAGCATTTTTTTCCACAATAAATTTCATATCACACCTCCACATCTTAAATTACTCATCTGTAGACATTTCTAATTATCAATCTAAAGAGAAAAATAATAATTTCATTCTAGTAAATTATATTAAAAATATAAATAAAAAGGTGTTTTTCTCAGATGAAGATATTTAACATAGGTTAGTGAGGCATTTTGATAAACTGTTCAAATGAAGTTTTTAAAAATACGATTGACTTTAGTAATCTTAAAAATGTTAATAATAATCAAATTTTTTATTTTTATCATCCCATTAGCAAAAAAGGAGTCAATCAGGCTTTAAAGAAAATCACTGTTGGAAAATCAGTAGGACTTGATGGTATCCTAATAGAAGTGTGAAAATATTTAAGGAGATTCGAGAATTTTTTGGCTTGCTAAACTATTTAATATTATTTTAAAAACTAAGGAGTGGAGAAAGAATATTTTGATTTCCATTTTTAAGAATAAAAGAGATGCACACGAGTGTGCAAATTTAAGAGGAATTAAGTTAATGTCATATATTAAAATTATTGGAGAGAGTAATTGAACATAGATTAAGATGTGATATAAAGATTTCTCATAATCTGTTTGGATTTATTGAGAGGTTTGATGGAGAAATATAGAGACAATAAGGAGGATTTATCGATGATTTTTGTTGATTTAGAAAAATTTTATGGTAAGGTTCCAAGGGAATTTCTTTGGAGAGTTCTAAAAAAGAAAGATATTGATATGACTTATATTCAAGTCATTGAAACTATGTATAGAGAGATGTTGCTTGTGTTCGAACAGGAGGATTGATCAAGTATTTTCCTATTTCAGTTATCATATAGGGATCGACTATAAGCCCTTATCTTTTTGCTTTAGTTATGGATATTCTTATTGGAAATTTACAGGAGGATGTACCTTGATGTATGCTTTTTGTTAATGATATCCCTTCTTGTGGACAATACTAGAGAAAGAGTTCAAGAAGAACATGAATTATGGATGTCTACTTTACAATCTAAAGGCCTTCATTTGAGTAGATCTAAAGCTGAATACATGGAATGTAATTTAAGTAATAGTGGATCTAGTGACGGAGTTTTAACAATAGATGAACAAATCATTAAAAAGTGTGAACATTTTAAATATCTTAGTTCTATTGTTCGAAGTGATGGTGACATAGATGGGGATGTTAGTAGTATAATTCAAGTTGGATGGTTGAAGTAGAGGAATGCATTGAGCCTGTTGTGTGATAGAAAAATATCACTTAGACTTGAAGATAAATTTTATAAAATGGTAATGAGACCTGCAATGCTCTATGGCACAAAATGTTAGCCTATAAAAGAAAAGCATAAAATTAAGTTGAGTGCTGTTGAGATGAGAAAGATTAGGGGGATGAATGACTTTACACAAAGATAAAATGCGAAATGAATGTATTCGTGAGAGGGATGGTGTAGCTCTAGTAGCACACAAGATTAGAGAGAGTCATTTTAGGTGGTTTGGTCACATTAAATGTTGATCATCTGATGATTCAGGTAGAAGAGTAGATGTTTCAAATTCTACTTATTTTAAGAAAGTTAGAAGTAGACCTAAAAAAGACTTGGGTTTGTATGAAAATGATCTTAATTTATTAGAATTAAATGAAATTATGGCACTTAATAGGACACGAGAAAAAGGATTCATGTAACCAGCCCCACTTAGTGGGATAAAAACTTCTTCTTGTTGTTGTATGATTTGATTTGTTTTCTATAGATTTATTTCACAGACTTAAATATAAATTTAAGGAAAATGCATTTACATTTATGTTGTTATATTTGGGAAGTAAAAAAATCACAAAAGCCAATTTTAGTGTAGTAGAAATGTGTACTGATTTGGATTTATGTCATTATGCCAAACCATATATCAAGCATGTTTTTGTGTTGAAATTTTGTTAGAATAACACTTAACAGAAATTAAAAAGTGTAAAAAGGATTAGGCTGTTAGAACATCTTTGATGGAGAGGTGAAGATGTGTGAGTGTCTCAGTATTTTTAAAGCTCAAAACTCAATGCGATGTACAAGAGCTTATTTTTTATTTCAAAGTGCAAAACGCATTAAGCTACATTTTTATTGAACAAAAACACTAATAACTTGTATAAAAATAATAAATTGGTACATTCATTAACAATTATAGAATATGGAACATTAATTCGATGAATTGAAACTTGAAACTTAGTGATTTCATTAAAACTTGGTTTGTTTGTCATTTATTAACAATCAACAATTTGTATTTATGTTGAAGCTTGATTCATTTGTCATTCTAACTATTTAAGCTTGGTTATGCCATATTTTGATAATCGAGTTATTATCAAGCAAATTAATAATTACTGCTATCAAGCTATGTGATTTCTATCCAAAGGACCTTTCTTGAGTAAACTAATATTAATGCTATCAAAGTATTTATTTTCTAACCAAATGAGTCTTATCGAATAAACCAATGAGTAGTATGCTTGAGCTATTCTAGTCAAACGAGTTTTATCGAGTTTATTAGTGAGTTACTTGTTGATTTGCAAAAACAAATGAACCTTTAAATGAACGAACTGCTGAATGAATAACTAGTATATACATATTGATGCACAAAATAAATTGACAACTAAATAAACAAGCATTTTTCTTGTTTTTTGTATTATGAATTAAAATTTTAATTAATTTAATAAAAATAAATTTTAAATCGAGCTTTATTTGATTTTATTTACAAACTTTAAATTAAGCGTATTCGCATGCATTAAATCGAGTTTATTCATGAGCTTGTTCATGAACTTTGTATAAAATTGTTCATTGAGCTTCTTAATGAGTTGATTTGCTAGCTTTTTAATGATATTGTTTTTGAACATAAATGAATCGAACAAGAAGTTATTTATGCTTGTTTGTTTATTAATCAAATTTTCGTAAAAGTGTTCAAAATTGTTTAATTTGTTAATCAAATGAATGTGAATGAGCTCTTATCAAGCCGAGCTATGAGTAGTTTATTGAACGATTGGTTTGTTTGCAGCCCTAGGATGAGGTACCCCTATTGATTGCACTATAGATAAGCAATCATCTAGCACTTTGTTTCATAACCTCAGTTCCTCGGCTAATATAAATTCTAAACCGTTCGATAAATTACTTGTAAATGGCATCAATGTTGTTGTTTTGCGGTTAGATATGTCTAGAGGTGATGCCAAGTATTCTGTGGTCAATAGTATCCTAATCCAAATTTATAATGAGATGCTCAAATCATGCTTAAGTTTTATTATTCAGCATTCACAAACTCTTAGTTTAGATATCTACTTATTCCTATAGACTGAAAACTAAAAAATTGAAGAATCCCACAAAATTGCTAATTTGATGGGAATTTATTAGAGATCACACAGAAGTTTAGACACATGAAAGCCATTATTTTGATTGTAAATCTTGCTGTATTTGAAATTGGATATACCAAATTTCATAAAACTCTCCCACTCATGCAAGTCAAGCGCTATAGATTAAATAATGGAAAATAGTAACACCAATCCTCACGCATGTACAAAGAGAGATCTTCTCTTAAAAATTTCAATCTCTAATTGCCACAAGAGAATTTTAGGGGACATTGTATTTTTGTTATCATAATAAAAATGTTTTGTATATGCCTTAACCTTTCATGTTTATAATCATAGACTCCCTAAATTTATAACAAAAAAAAAGGAAATAAATAAACAATTATTGTCCTGAAGTCCATAGAATTGTCGGCCATGGTTAACTTATCATATGAGACTGAGGGAGTTAACTTTGTAGGAAGGAATCGAGTAAGATCCACCATGGCTTCAACATTTTGGAACCATAATTCCGAGAATATTAACCATTTCCACATGAAACATTATATTCATGATTAAAAAAGAAATAAAAATGGGAACTACTAAAAATAGAGAAAAACATGCTCAAGTAAACTCAACACTAAGCTTGTCTATTTGTGCTTCTCAAAGCAATCTTATGTTTTTTATGGCTATAAATTTTAAGAGGTTTGCATCAGGAGGGTTTTATGATTAGAACTGAAATGTATATATATTGCTGATTTCATTTATTATTTACCTCAATAGAAATGCTTTTGACATGTAGCTATTGGCGAAATTTCTGTTTTTGTTAGGTATGGTCTTACTTAAATCTCAGAAGAGCTATTGTGCATCTGCCTGCAAGATAAATAACAAGGGGCATTCTGCCTCACCCTTTGCGTGAGAACATTCAGATACCATGTGCTATAAAGAACCTGATTGGTGATGTTAATAATCTTTGTGATTGTACTATTTATTTGATTTGCAGATTATGAACCATTAATTTTGTCTCTGGTATTTGCAACCCTCATTATTATGTCTAATTTTTCTGAGCTTGTCTGCAGGGTTTTGACTTGAAAAGAAGTGGTTAAGTGGGCTGGGTTAAAAGCACTTGTTATGCCCTGCTAAAACTTTGACCGCAGCATTCATGGTGCTAGCCCCATTTTTAGTTTTCCTCTGCAGATGTTTTTTAATGTTTAAAAATTTTTCAGGGTCATGATTTATTCTCACTTGGGGACTTGCAGTGTTACTATATGATTAATCAGTATTTTTATGATATTCTAACTGTATTTTTTTAGTCGCAGAAAAGAGCACAATTAGCTTTTTTGTGTATATTTTTTTTTAAACTTATTTAAGGCTACATAGAAGCATAACATTATATCTTGTGCTTGGGATGCTTCAAAGCCAATTCGCTGTCGTCTTCTGTTATTCTGGAAAGGTCTTAATGAATTTCATGATTTAGAAATGTCGCATGGAATCACTTTTTTGTTAGCGGGGCTAATTTTGTAGATAAAGTTATTTAGTTTTTGCACTAAACTCCTTACTAATGTGTCTGCCATTTTCAGAAAAAGGAAGCTCCTCCTGGTGAGGAGCCAGAGACAGTCAGGACTCATTTCTGCAACATGATCATGGTTACCGAGATGATTGGGAGCATTATTGGAGTTTAGAATGAGATAAATCTGGAAATGATTGGCCACTCCTTGCAGAATTCACTATTAGTTACAAACCTGTCGAGCATGGAAGGCCTGGGATCGATGCCAGCCACTCTTCCAGATTTACGCCTCTCAAGTAAGTGGCTTGGGGGATCATTTTGGATGGTGGGAAATTGCAGGGAGTGAATTATATTTTTGCGACATATTGTAGGAGCTCCTCTCTTTCCAGATATTTATTTATTTTTATCTGCATTTTTTAACTTGGATTTTCTGTTACTTTTATTTTGATTATCAATCACTTTACTGTTATGTTCTCCTCTTTATTACTTCATCCCAGATGCTTGGTTATTAGTGTTATTGTTATATTGGTGATCCTGTTATACTTTGCTGATTACTATTTTTATTGTTTCTAGTGCTCCCTTTTACTGTTTCCTGTTCATTTTTTTCAATTACCAAACCTCGCCTCTTTATATGTATCGAAGTGAGAGGGTGGTGTAGAGACAGTTGTAGAAGATTATATTCTGAGTTCTTTTTTTGAGACTAATTGACAATAAAGATTTTTGTCTTTTGCTTCCTTTGTTTGAGATTTACTTTTTACAACCTGGGAACATCTTGATTAATCAAAATTTTTAAAAATTGGTATCAGAGCAGGTGCAAGAGCGATAAGAATGGCGTTGACAGAAAATTTATCATAGATAAGTTCACAGGAGAGAATGATTTCAGTCATTAGAGGATTAAAATGAAAGCACTTCTTGTACATCAAGGATCAACTATGCAACCAGCAAAGGCTTTGCGGGTTGTAAGACGGTGAATGCACTTGAATTTTAGTTAAAGGCGCACAGTGCTATTCTTCTAATCTCCAATGATGAAGTGCTTTGCGAGGTAGCAGAAGAAGATTCAGCCAGTGATGTGTGGGAGAAACTCCATTCCTTGTATATAAGGAGATCCTTAGCCAGTTGGTTTTATTTGTGGAAACAACCATATACTCTTGAAATGGATGAATCCAAATATCTAATAAAGTACATCGATGAGTTCAATAAACTCATTGTTGATCTCAGGAATGCAGATGTTATGATAGAAGATGAACATCTGGAAATTATTCTTCTCAGCTAATTTCTAGGATCATATGAAAATATAGTTGATACAATACTTTACGGTAAAGAAACTTTGACAATACTAGAGGTAAAATCTGTCTTGATGTCAAAAGAGATTCAAAAAAAAGTTTGAAGTGAAGAAGAAAAAAATGATGATAACTTATCTGTAAGGGGAAGGCCTGAACAGAGAAGCAACAAATTCCATAAGAATTATCGTGGCAGATCGAGGTGCAAGTCCAAGACCAGGAAATGTTTTCATTGTCGGAAAGAAGGGTCATTTTAAGGAAGATTGTTCTGATAGAAAATAAGTCAAGAAAATGGTTTGAAGGATGATGTTAAAGCAGCAGTGGCATCAAATTCAGTTGGTTATGAATGTCTTAAGTGCTAGTTGTATCGCGAAAACAATCCATTGATGAATGGTTATCGATTCCAGATGCTCCTTTTGCTTGATACGAAATGTAAGGCTACTTTCAAGATCTTGAAACGGTAGACTGTGGAATGATTTTGTTAGGAGATAACAAGCTTCTAAGGTAATGTGAGAAGGATTTCTTGCATTCAGAATGCATGTTGGCTGTATTAGAATTCTAAAAATGTAATAAACGTGCTGGAACTTAAACGAAACCTTATTTCAGTAGGAATGTTGGATGACAGTGGTTGCAATGTAAAAATAGACGATGCATTTATAAAAATCGTTTAGGGAGCAATGGCTGTGTATGAAAGTTTCATTGATTAACAATCTGCACGTATTAGATTGTTTAGCAGCTGATTCGGCAGCTAACTCTGGTGGCAACATAAATTGATAAAACTTTTTTTGTGGCATTTAAGACTTGGGCATATCAGTTATCGTGCTTAATAAAGCAACTGCTTGTTGTGGTGACAACATGAACAAAATGTAGTTCTGTGAAAGCTGTGTGATTGGCAAGACGAGTTAAATTCAGTGCAACAAGGCATAATGATAATGGTATATTGGATTATATTTGTAGTGATTTATGGGGACCAATCAAGGTTGCCTCCAATGGTGGAGCAAGTTATTTGATGTTAATAATTGATGATTAGTCAAGAGAAGTTTAGGTGTACTATCTTAAAACCAAAGATAAAACATTTCAATCTTTTGGACAGTGGAAAATGCTGACTGAAATTCAAGTTGATAGAAGAGTTAAGATGCTGAGAATATATAATGGCTTGGATTCTATTCAAAATTATTTGAGTATTGAATTGATGAAGGAATTGTATGGCAGCATGTTTCTCATTGATACAAAGAAGGGTATTTAAACCCAATTAAAATGGACACAAATAAGAAAAGAAAATAATAACAAAATAAAAATAAAAAGGAAACTACACAATGCTGAATAAGGGGAATTAATAAATAATAACAACCATAGAAAACCAATAAATCTAATAAATCTAATACTCTCCCTCAAGTTGAAGTATGGATGTCATTCATGTTCAATTTGGATTTGAAGTCATTGAATAAAGGGCGAAAATGATTTTTGGTGAGGATATCTGTTAGTTGGTCAATGGAGGGCACAAAAGGAACATAAATTTCTCTGCACTCAATCTTTTCTTGATGAAGTGTCTGTCTATTTCCACATGTTTGGTACGATCATGCTAGATTGTATTGTAGACAATACTGGCTGCCTTATTATCACAGAATAGCTGTAGCGGGACAGAGGTTGTCATACAAAGTTTACGGAGTATGATGCGTAACCAGAAGACTTCACAGATCTCTAAGGACATGGACCAGCATATAGTTTCAACACTGCTCCGGGCAACCCAGACTACATTTTGTTTTTTCATGTGACAAGATTTCCTATTACAAATGAGCAATACCCCGTGGTGGAACGTCGATCCTGAACTGACCTGACTCAATCAGCATCTGTATAAACAACAATATACCGATAAGTGTGACGAAAGAAAAACAAATTTAAGCCCAATGTACCTTTTAAATAGTGGAGAATTTGGTGGACAACTTCGAGATGGTGCTCATATGAGTCATGCATGAATTGACTTACTATACCAACTTCATGACATATGTATGGGTGAGTATATGCGAGGTAAATGAGTTTCCCCACAAAACGCTGATCGTGAGTATTGTTGACGGGCACATCATTGTGAATGTTAGATAATTTTTTATTGAGATCCATAGGGGCATCCACAGGTTTGCACAAAAGAAGATTGTTCTTTGTCAAGAGATCAACCACATATTTGCGCCGAGAGACAAATTCTCTGAGTTGATCAAGCCACTTCTATGCCTAAGAAGGGAGATTCAAGGTCCTTAATTTCAAAAGACTTAACAAGGATGTCTTTCAAAGACTTTAATGTTGGAAGATCATTTCCTGTAAGAACAATATCATCGACATATACAATAATGATAACTACCTGGCCATTAGAGGAATGTCAGAAGAAAGGAGTGTGATTTGATTGAGACTGAATAAAATCATGGCCTAAAACCACTTTTGTGAACTTGTCGAACCAAGCCCTTGGGGACTGACTTTGTCCATAGAGGGACTTTCACAGACTACAAACTAGCTCTCTGGAGGCAGTAGAGTCAAATCGAGGAGGGAGAGACATGTATACCTCTCCTGTAAGCTCTTTATTCAAGAACACATTCTTGACATCTAGCTATAAATGCTAATCCAGATCACCGCAAGAGACAACACGATCCGAGTAGTGTTTAGCTTAGCCACTGAAGCAAATGTCATCTCATATTCAACTCCGTAGGTTTGTGAGTATCCTTTGGCGACCAACCATGCCTTGTTGCATTCAAATGATTCATCAGGGTTGAATTTGGTGTTGAAAATCCTTGAACACCCCACAACTTTCTTACCCTGAGGAAGATCAACGATGTCCCACGTATGATTTCATTGAAGGGCATTAATTTCCTCAATTACTGTCGTTTTCCAGGATGAATCAGCAAGAGCAATCTCAATATAGCTGGGATCTGATTGTCCGTCAAGGCAGTAGAAAATGCTCTGTAGGTCGGCGATAAACTGCGAAAAGAGACGTATTTTTCCATAGAATAGAGTGAGCATGTTTGGTTGCATACCTTGCTCAGAGAACTCACCTCATTCAGAGGAGCGGTCATGCTGAGGATGACGCCCGGAGTGGAGTCAAGGTCCAGTAAGGAGTTAGCTGGTTCCAGAGAAGGAGCATTGGAACGAGTGTGTCAAGTGTAAACGCAGATAGTGGGAGGAGGAGATGGCGCACTTACTGAATCAACTCACCAGATGGCGCACTCACTGGAACAAGGGACTCCTTAGTGGCAGGAACAATGGGGGACATTCAAAGGTGTAGGGTAAATGACAATGTCTAAGAACCCAAGCTCCCTCTCACTTGTGGCCCACATAGGAAAATATGGAACACTTTCAAAGGAGGAAACATCAGCACTTACATAAATTTGTTTAGTTGTGGGATCAGGACACCGACACGTCTTTTGAGTGGAGTACCCATGGAGTGCTGATGCAGTTTATGGATTTGGGATCAAGTTTACTCCGATTGGGGGTAGTGTTCCGAACAAAATCAGTATACCCAAAAATCTTTGGATCTATGGTGTAGAAGATCCGATTGATAGGGAAGTATGACATCAGGGCGGTTAAGGGTGTTCAGAATGTGTGAATGTTAGAGGGGACCCTTTATGAGATAGATGACAGTGAGAATAACATCGTTCCAAAACAGCTTCAAGATATTAGATTGAAACATAATGAAGCGAGCACGATTGATGACGTGACAGTTTTTCTCTCGGATACCCTATTTTGTTGAGGCGTGTCCGTACATGAGCTGATGCCCTTAATAAAAGTTCCTCAAAATAAAGTTGAAAAACTCAAGACCATTGTCGGTCCGAAGTATCTGAATAAAAGTTTTTGAATTGAGTTAAAATGGTGTAAAAATTTTGGATGGTGACAATAACCTCCTATTTGTCTTTTAAAATGTAGACCCATGTCATCTGAGTGTAGTCATCAATCAAAATCAGTAACTATCATTTATTGGTGTAGCTAGGAGTGCAAAAGAGTTCCCATAGATTACTTTGAACGAGAGAAAAAGGAGCAGAAGGTAAATGTGGGGTTAGTAATTAACCTGATGATGTTTGGCTAACTTATCTCACAATTGAAATTAGGTACAACTTTTTAAAATATTGAAAATTGAGATGACTCAAACGACATTGCAACAATATAATGAGACATTCAATGAATCGGGATAAACTACAACTCCAGTGGGGTGTGGTCTCACTCTTTGTGCTCCTCTTGGAAGTAGTAGATTCCAACTACCCTCTTAACAATTCCAATAATCCCCCCTGAATGACGATCTTAGAAAATACAACTATTAAAAGAGAATTTAGCAACACAATCAACATCATTGGTTAACTTGCTGACAGTAACAAATTACAGTGCAACAAAGAAACATGTAATACAGACTCCTGAGTTAAACTGATCATTAGTACAACCGACCCTTTACCAACAATAGAACTATAAAAGCTATCGACAATTCTGATAGTATCTTTTATAAAGCATTGATAGTAAGTTGAGAAAAGTTGTGAGCATCCAGTCATGTGATCCGTGACACCTGAATTAACAATTCATGCACTAGAGGAGGAAAAAACTGTGAGAGCCATATGAAGAGTACCTTGTATGATGTGGGAGGTAGATGCACTTGCGGAAAATTGATTGGCTCCAAGTAGCTTGATCAATTGTTTCATATGGTTTTCCAGGGATTCAAAGATGTTCCAGTTAGGAGTTGGTTGAACCATGGTAGATTCGGACGCGCCATGAGATCCTTGGTTTGTTTGGCGGTTTACCGTGATGCTTCCAACACTTGTCCCGAGTGTGGTTGGCTTTGTGACAGTAATCACAAGTGCGGTGACTGACCCGAGGGGGCATGGAAGAGGGTTGAGCACGATTCGAGATCAAGGTAGACGATTCGGCTGAAGGAGTAGAAGTGCCGAGCATGACAAGTCTCTGGCTCTCTTTCAAACAAATCTTGGTGAAGGCAGCACGAGCGGAAGGAAGAGGGTTCCGACCAAGAATACGACCTCGGACTTTGTCAAGGTCTTTATTAAAGTCAGTCAGGAATTGGAACATGTATTTTCAACAATATTCTGGAAGTGAGAAAAGTTGGCTAGAGAATTGCACATGTAATCGTAGTACAAGTCGCATTTAGGGGTGTAAACGAACCGAACAGTGCTCGTGTTCGTGTTCGGTTCGTTTGAAATAAAGTTTGTTTGAAATAGGCTCGTGTTTGAAATTGTTCGTGAAAAAAGATCTGTTCGTGTTCGGGTTCGTGTTCGGTTCGATTTGTTCGAATTTGTTTGAATCGTTCGAATCGTTCGAATCGTTCGAATCGTTCGAATATGTTTGAAATGTTTGAATTGTCATTTTTAGAGTTATTTCAAATTTTCAAATTTCTTATATTTTTTGAATTATTAAATAGACAAATTTAAATATTAATTCTCATACCACATCAAAAATGCCACCATTTTAACTTTTATAAATTGAAATAACTCTAAATAAAATATATAAGAATTATTAATAAATTCTCAAATTACCAAAAATAATAAATAAAAAACTTCAACAAAAACATCTCTTCATCATTAGTCAAACAAATAATTTCTTACATAAAAAGATAATATTCAAAATTCAAATTGTAAATTCAATACAATTCTCAGATGTGAAATTGAAATCAAATTTCAAATTGTAAATTCAGCATGCATTCACTTCTCTCAATCTCCTATACACATCATGTTTACATCATGTTTAGTAATTATAGTAATTATTACAGCTATAATAAATTCTACTCCACATTGGGATGGAAGGCTCAAATGACATCCTCTGGATTAATTCATGGAACTCAACCATGAATCCATGCTTGCCCAAATGCTCTATCTGTAAGAAAATAAACAAATCAGCTTCAGCTTCAGGTAAATGTAATTGTCTAATACATATACAAGTATGTTATGAGAAGTACGAGTCAATTGAATTCAACAGAAATAACATTCATTC